CTTCCCCCAGCTTTATATGCTGAGCATGACGTCATATGGTATGGAATATCCCTTTTGCCAGTTTGGGTCAGCTCTCCTGGCTGTGCCCCCCTCCTAGCCCCCCATGCACCTCCAGCCTTCTCAGTCGGTAGGGCATGAGAAGCTGAAAAGTCCTTGACTAGTGTAAGCACTGCTTAGCAACAACTAAAACACTGGTGTGTTATCAACATAGTTCTCACCCTAAATCCAAAACACAGCACTGTACCAGCTACTAGGAAGGAAATTAACTCTATCCCTGTCAAAACAAGGACAATGAGTAATACCTTATCTTTGGTGGTTTTAAAATTTTCAGTTGGTACAGCTCAGTTACGCTTCCCTTGAATATGGAAAAATTAAGAGGCTGTTTGAGAAGACAATGAAAGATTACTACATCCACCAACTACAGAGGATCCAGAACCCAATGCTTTGGCAAGTTTTTCAGTGGTTTGTATCTATTTTATTTCATTATCCTGATGGTAGCAGAAGACTGGTATTTCCTGATCTATTGTCTTCCACAGTCTGCATTAGGAGTTGCCAAATCCAGCAGCCCAGCAGAGGTGAGACTGCCACGTATCTGTGTGCCCGGGTCCGGCTGGCAGTGAGGTTCAGCACATGTTCCCAGTAGGCTCACACGCACAAACACACACATACACACAAAGCGTGTGAATATGCACACAGCTGGCCACAAAAACCAACACAGCACAGCACAGCACTCAGGCAATCATAAACAGCAGCAACGACCTCATCCTATTCCCTTCCTCTGGCTAGATCGGGATGAAAGCCTGTTACTGGAATGTTACTGGAATGTTACTGGAATGTACAGGAATGGTTCCCTCCAGGAGCTGGTCTTAGACACTCAGCCTACCCATGTGCTGTCCCCTGGGTCCTCTCATCTCTAGTTACGTTCTGCATGCAGAACCACATGCAAATGGGTCTCTATAGACTTCCTGGTATCTTCAGTGGTTCTCCTGGGCCTCCTGGTCCCTCTGGTAAGCAAGCTCAGACTTTCTGGTCTCTCCAGCATCTGGCCCAGACTTATGACTGTTCCGAAACCTGGTTCCCAGGCCAGCTACCCTCCTCACTGGCTGTCCAGCTTGATATTGGCTAGTGATCACACATTGACACATGCACCCTCCCTTGCTGCAGTTGCTGGTGCTGTGGACATGCAGCTCCTGTGACCCAAGGTCCCACTCCAGTTGCTGCACCCAGACCCCCATACACGCGCATGCACACAGACTGGAGAGTCCATCACCCAGGTAAGAGTTAGAAATGGAGTTTAATGAGAAGATAGGGCAGGCTGTGCTGATCAGGCACAGGGCATGGCCAGACAAGCCTACTGTAGACCAGGCAGTTGCCTGTTTATACACAACCAGCCCTTTTTACCCCCTTATCCATCTATTTTCCCATGTTTGTTCCCCCTCAGACCATCCTGATCCCTCCCTTCTCCCACCTACAGTTCCTCTGTTAAACATCCCGTTATAAGTCTTGTGCAATCCCCAAATGCTCTTCCTCTCTGTCCCATAGCAAGTCCCATGCTCTCATAGGCAGTACCCTCCTTATGTCCGTGAGCTGCTCTGGACACTTTCCATTGCTCATGTTGCTGGGTGTCCCCTTGGTCCCTGGGGCTGAGGCTTCCTTGGGGCAGCCCTGGGAAGGGGCCGGGACTGGGGCTCCTCTCTCTGGGATCAGGTTATTGGGGTTGTCTCTGTGCTCTTTTGTGTGCGTAGAAATGAGCCTTTTATCGCATAACCTAACAGGTTGTGTGGGGAGTTCTTGCTAGTGTTATTCAAAAAGAAAGTTCTTTTCCTTCACCATGACTGAGCTGTAGTATCTCAAATTTATTCTTTTTGTTTTAGTCTCTTCCACATAGGAGCTTAAAAAAAAAGGGGGGGGGACTTGTTATATGAGAAAGATAGGGGTAGAGATTATACAATCCTCACTGTGGCTTCATACAGCTCAGTCTTATAACCATATTTATGCATTCGGGATTTATATAACCTGGGAACTGACCAATTCCCAGTCAAGAGATGTTTGTCTCCCTACTCTCTAATGTGGTGTGAAGTTGTGGGTGACACAGTCCATAGCGATGCTGAGAACTTTTTGTTTTGCTGGAAGGAGCCAGCTGTGCAGCAGGGTACCAACAGAAGTGCAAAGCAGGCAGTAACCCCACTGAGAGTGGTTTGTGTCACTGTTCCTCCATAACCCAAAAGTAGGAGGAGTTGAGTTGGGAAATTGTCCTTGTTTGAACCAGGGTAACATGTCATTCTTTTTTTTTTTTTTGTCCGTAGGCAAAAGGAGCAGATGAAGAAGCTCAATAAATCGAAATGGGTGGATGAGCGGCTCCTGTTTCATGGGACGAATCTGTCCCATGTGCCTGCCATCTGTGAGCAGAACTTCGACTGGAGGATCTGTGGAACTCATGGGACAATGTATGGAAAAGGTACAAGTGCAGAAGTGTGGGTTCAGGGGCCATAGCAGCATGGGCTGCTGGTGGGTGGGTGCAAGGTGACTGACCTTGACCTGACCCCTGCACTCCTGCCATTAGGGCACTCTCACCTGTGTGCATCTGCATCGCTGCAGGCAGCATCAGCAGCAATCCCCTTTCAGGAGGGGCTAAAACCACTCCTTTTTACCTCAGGAACCTGCTGTTCAGCAAAGCTCTTGGACGGGTGGGACTGGGAGGTTGATGGCAAAATGTGGCTAGAGTCTGTCGATGCTTTAAAATAAGCCTATGTGGAACCACCTGGCGAGGATGTGTGTAGAGCTACCTGGGGCTGCCAAAGTGCCGATAGCGGATGTTTGTTCCTTGGTTGATGTATTGTCTTACCTGTGGCTTTTTCTGGTCCCTAGGAAGCTACTTTGCCAGAGACGCCAGCTATTCTCATGAGTACTGTTCCTCTCGCAGTGGCCGCTACAGCATGTTTGTAGCTCACGTTCTTGTTGGAGACTTTGTTCAGGGAAACCCCGAATACCTTCGCCCTCCACCCAGAGCCAGCAATTCACACAGACTTTACGACAGCTGCGTGGATGACCCGACAGACCCTTCCATCTTTGTTGTCTTTGAGAAGCACCAGATTTACCCTGCCTATATCTTGGAGTACAGCAGTGAGGCCCAATGTATGATCCTGTAATGAAAGGTGGAATCTCCTTTGAATTTACACTGAATAAATTACACTTTAGTACATCTTTTTTTAATGTTCGTTCAATTTTAGTAGTAGCTTTAGAACATTTTGTAATGCACTGAACCAATATCAATTCCCTGAAGGATTTTGGGGCACAATTTTTTGATGGGGGCTACCAGCAGAAAGTGCTAAACTTTAACCTCCACCTCATCTCCAGCATGGGATGGGGGCGTACCTGCCTTGCGTACCCTGATGCAGTGACACCTTCTGCCGCTGAAAGCGGCACCACTGAATATACAGTTAACTTGATCCACTGATATAGTCACTTAGGGATTATTCCTGCCTGTGATGGTGCTGATGTGCCAAAGGAAGTCATGGTGGGGAATGCAGAAGGAGGAAAAGTGAAAGTACCTACATTATGGTGCACAAGAGAGTAAGCATGGCCTGTCCTTCCAGTAAATGGCAGGAAGCTCCTGCATCCTGGAGACTTTGTAATTAATGCTGGCCATGAACTTTGCTCTGTTTCCTGGTCACACCACTGACAGCTCTTCCTACCCTGTTCTTCCATGTCAAGTCTGCCCATCCCACTGGCGACACCCTGTCCTTGCTCTGTCCCCACTGGGTTTAGGCCAAGAGAAGCAGGGATATTGCAGCTGCGGAAGTTAGACCCCCACCACGCCATGACATTAACAGCGAGGAAGTCCATGGTGATGCACACGGCAGCGTCCCACCAAGGCTGCAGAGCCAGTGCTTGCAGCAGTGAGCGGAGAGGCAAAGGGGCTTTGTGAGTGGTGGCCGTGCCAGCGGCCACCCCGCTTCCCACCCTGCAGACTGAAGTTGGTGCTGACTATTTTGAATTGTTGTGCTGCTGCCTGGCACTTCTCCGGGAGACTGAGAAGCGCCCCAGCGGTGTGTGCTCCGACTGGGATGGACGGGGGAAAGCTTGGATGATGGACATAGTACTTGAAACTTGGTGGATGGTAGGATAACATTCAGGATGAAACAAAAATTAATGGTTTATTTTAAAACAGTCTTTCTGTATAAGCTGTAGTAATTCAGCAAAGGAGTCACAAGTGGCTCAGTTGTCCATGTCATGAGTGGGAGGAACCAAGAGTATGGATGTGTATAGGATCTCATCAGCTTTCGTAAAGCCTGCTATCTTCAGGCACAATCAGTGTCCTTAGAAAATGTCAGAAATGCAACTGGCTGCAATGAGTCCCCGAGCTGCCATATTTAGTGCACTTCCATGTCCCATTTCTTCTTGCAGGAAGCTGGAGCCTAAAGGTTGTTTTTTTTCAAATTAGTGATCTAATCTTGTCAGCCACAGGTGAGCAGAGAGCTTTCCATGCAGTCAGGAAGTAACAGTGGAAGTCACTTAAATGGACTTTTTCCTGAATATATAGTATTTTTTAATTAAAAAAACCCCCAAAAACAAATGGCACCAAGTTATCTGCCACACGGCTTTCTCAATAAGGAAAGTGGTGTACAACAGTTAATTGCTTTCCTCTGCTATCAATACCACTGCATTGGAAAACTGCAGTGATTTTGGAGAGCTGTTTGCTTAAGATTTGTCAGCTGTCATAGATCTGCATCCTGTGCTTTGCATAAACATGAATCTGGGCTTTATTTGTACAAATAATAACAAAAATTCTGGTTTAAGCTGTTGATTTTACAAATAAATGGGATTATATAGAGATCTTTTTCAATTTATGGACTTGCTGCCTGGCTGTGGCACCCAGTGGGTGCCGTGCACGGGCAGCCTTCACCCCGCAATCACCCTCCCCTTGCTGCCTCCAAGCTGCGTACTCGTGAGGATGGGAAGAACTGAATAATGGCCATTTTCAGCTGTCACCTTGCCTTGATCCTTGCAACATAGCGTAAATTTGTGCCAGGGTTTCATCAGCTTATGGGGGGTTGCGCGTGCGACCTTTGGGCAGGACAGGGGCTGGGAGATGGAGGGTTTGGGAAAGGTTTTGATATTAGAGAAAATGTTCTGTGGAACGATGCCCTTGTACAAAACATCTTCCCCCGTTCTCCCCTGCCATGACAGAAGAAACCATCCATTGTGTGGGAGAAAGCTATTTCCAGCAAGGTGGGCTTCGGGATGTGATTGCCAGCCTCCTCGGGGGCAGGAGAAGGTAAGTGAGAGCTCGCTGAAGGGCAGGCCAGTCACTGAAAAAGGGAGTTTTGTTGGTCTGAAAAAGAGGAAATCAGGCAGAGAGGAGAGGACGGGTGCAAATGTGCAGAGTTTCGAAGAAAAGGAGATTTTCCAGTAAGTAAAAACTACTTCTGGTTGCAGGGAGAGTTCATACAACATTCAGCAATTAGTGGCTGGGTATTATATTGAGAAGATCAGGCAGGGGGCTGGTGTGCGCAGCTGCAACGGTGCGCTGTGGTGTGGGATTGCTGAGGTCTAGCTGCTGTTGGCTTTGTAGGTGTTGGAGTACCAGATCCGAAGCAGAAGCACTCCTTGAAGAGCCCGCAGTACTTCAGGGTCACTCTCTGCAACTCTCAGTTGCCAAAAGGAGCAGTCCCACCTCCAGGTGTGTGTTGCTGCTGTTTTCCCTATGCCAGTACCAGTGACTGTACTGGGGTGGGGAGGATCAGATGCAGAGTGTTCACCTACTTGAAAACTGATTTAGCCACCCCCGCCACCCCACCCCCCCCAAAACCAAACCCAAAATATGGTGTTCAGCAAGAACAGTTCCCAGTTCTGCTTGTGCCAACACTGATAAAGAAAAGGGGGGGCTGCAGTATAGATTTTGACTGGCGTAAGATGATACTGAGCCTCTAGCCCACGCAGGGCTTTGAATGGTAAAAGATTTGGGAATATTTTGGTCAGTGAGGCACTGAGAGCAGAAACCACTAGTAAAAGTGAAAAGCTATTTAATCTGTGAATACTTCTTCATGGGAGTTTTGTTCGGTATTATAAATGTGCTAAAACTTCCTCCAGACCTGAACCTCCTGCTAACTGGAGTACCTGGGTGCCTCCAAAGTACTGAGCAGAAAGCATTCCTCAGCACCCTTTTAGAGGAGAAATACTTGCAAACTGGCAGCAACACATGCAATTGTTGGCAGGCACTAAATGTGGATCTGATCTGTGGGCTTTTCATTTATTATTTCTTTTCTCCTGAAAAGAAGTGTTTGAAGGGCTCCCTACCCTGTTGAGAAAGGGTTAAATGACTTCTGACTCAGATGCATGAGATGGTGGTGGAAAAGGTCTGACCTGAGGAACGCTATGAGTAGCCAAACTGATTTCTGTGGCGTTTGCCGCTTTCCCTGCCAGCTGGGCTGGTGCCAGCCCAGCAGGTGTCGGGGTGGGCTTCTCCTGGAGCCTCCACGGTTCACCAAGCTGCTTCTACCCAAAGATAGGGAGTAAGGCTGCCCTCAACATGAGATGAAATGATCAGTTGGTATCTTGGCTAATTACTTCTCCACCTTTTGAATATATTTCCTGTTAGGAGGGTGCTGTGGGAGCACTTCATCTGCGCCGCCATGGGGAGGTTTTTTGGGAGCGTGGCAGCTGCAGGAGACCAGAGGGCGAGGGATCTGCTGAGAGGCCAGCTGCCTCTGCAAGAGTCCCCAAACGCAAAGCTGTTAGCTCAAGTGATCTTTTCAATGTAATGCACTTCTAATTGATTTTCTTGTGGTGCTCTTAGGACTTCACAGTGTCCCTGGTTTTAACGTTGTTGGTTGTTACATATTCATGCACCTGTTCTAGGCTTTCTATTAAAAAACACCTCAGCAAGTATTCAGGCTTTCTTTTAGTTTAGTGGTGTTAAATTTGACTTTTCAGCATTTTTAAGAATCCTTTTTAACAATTTTGACAGAATTTATTACAGGATGATTAAACTGTAGAAACTTAATGCTTGATTGAACATGCTGAATGGCATGTTATTTTCCAAAACATTTAAACTCCTAAAAATCAACCTGAGCCCAATAACCTGGCGCTACCACTGTATGGGTGCCAGGTGAAGAAAACAAAGATATTGTTCTTGGCATGACATGCTCAACAGTTATGCTCAATGCATTATTTAACAAGACTGTTTCTGGATCGAGGGAATAACGATCCCGAATCAATGTGTAGCTGTGGTAATGATGGAGGGCTGAGGGTTTAGGGGAGGGCAGGGGTCCTCAGTTAGGGGCTGCAGGAGAAAGATCTGTAGGAATCAGACTTCTGCTGCTCAGGGAACAACTTTTTCTAATTGTTCCTGTTCTTTTGCAGTCCTGTTTCTTTTGATGAAGCGTATTGTTTGGCATGTTGAGTCCTAGACACTATTTCCCGAAACAACTCAAACTGTATTTCCAAGATTACTTTTACATCTAGCTTACGTATAGGAACAATACGAAAGTCTGACCGGGTTCTTATCCATCTGTTCTTAATAAGCTTAGATTTTCCTTCCAGATGCTTTACTGCAATGTCAGAGGACCCATTAATCGGTGCGCCAGTGCTCAACCTGTTTAATACTGGGGAAGTGTCTACACATGATACCCCGCCACGGGAGGAAGCTGTGTTTTTACCTATTCCCAACGAGAAGCTTTATTTCACTGTGTGTTCTCTGAGTCATTTTTCTTGGGCTGTATCTTCAGCTTTGGTCTCCTTCATTATTTTTTTTTCAAAATGGTTTTCCCTTTACTAAGTCCAAAGGAGATGTTAGAAGTTGCATCGGTCTCTGCTTTCTTTAACACCTTGTACACCCTTTCACTCTTGCTTCTTGCAGACTCTTTCTGACTGCATTTTGCAGAAAGCCCCTTGCATCTTCCAGTTTGTTTTCCTTTTGAAAATTCCTGTAGGTTTATGACTTTTTTACCTATACTCTGCGGCATCTGTCTGAAGCTGTGATCTGTTCTGTCCTGAAGGCCAACTGACCTTCGTTTTGCCTCTCAGCTCAAGCAGGTTCTTCTAAGAGTCTTCTCCACATCGTTTTTCCTCTTGGATCCTCATACAATCTGACCTCATGTTAACGATTAAACAGCCTCTCCCTTCACAGAACTTACTTGACTGAAAGTCCTCTCATCCATCATAATGGCTTAAAAAATGCCTCCCTTTTTTGGATTCTTT